CCCCCCCCCCCCCCCCCCCCCCAAGATCTTTCCCTTCCAACTCCAAACGCATCTCTCGCCTGAGCAAAAAACCCTTTCATTTAGCAGCCAGGGCGTCTGCCTTTCAAATGTCCTTCTATCCCTCAAAAGTTGTTTTTCTTCTCCTCCTATTGCGAGGGCCGTTCCCATACCCACCCCAGCCACCACCCGGCTTCAGCCACCCTTTTTGGATCCGATTAGAGAGAGAGAGAGAGAGCAGAAAGTGCACAATTTCATTTCCCCTTTCCAGGCCAAAATAAAAGAAGCGACACACAAAGCTGGCCTGCGACTGCTGGAAGAGTGGCCAAAGAAGCAGCTGGGCTGGGCTCCCCTTCCAAATAAGCGGCAGCAGCAAAAGTAAAACTGAAAACCATCCTGGCACTGAATGGAAATCCCCCAGGTGGGGGAAAACATAACCCCCACCGAGCTGCAGTTATGTTTTGGAAGTCAGCATTTTTTAAAAAGTCAAGACAGAGCTCCTCCAGTCTGAGAAGACGGATTTGCACCATGCAGCTCCCATATTCGGCTCACTCGAGGGCCGATCCATTCAATAGCCCTCCTCCAAAGGACTGAATCCATTTCCCGAGACTGGCACCCAGCTCCCAAAGGTATTTTCCTTGAGTCTTAAAGAAAAAACTCTTTTTGCGATTTCTACGGGGTTTAGTTCCACGTCAAAAGCGTTTCGGCACCCGCCCGGAAAGGCCTGTCCGACGAAGACGTTCTGTGAAATTCTAAAGCTTCAGAGTCGATCAAATAAAGCTGGGTCCTCTAGGACCAACATGGGAACAGCCAGTCAGGTGAAGAAAAAGTTATTTGGGATCAGGCCCGTAGACACAGCGGGGCCTCTTGGGGCCCGGCCCCCTGAATTACCACCAAAACCCCCAACTTCCCATCCAGCCCAGGCCCCCAAATTTATTTAAAGCCCCCCCCCAAATTAAAAAAAAACCTGGCTGGGATACAGGATATCTGGGGGGGGTCCATTTGACTGAGGTCTCCCCCCCCCATCTCCACCACCACTTGCCTTGCCTGTTTTTTCAACACAGCCCTGAAATCCAAGTCTCTGGTTTGGAAAAGGCCCTTCCCAACACGAAAAGTACAGGAAGAGGATGACAGCGGTTGAGAAGAAAGGCATGGTGAAGTCTCACAGTGAACACACAAAAGCGCCATCCGCACTACGCCAGGGCTTTCGACTCCCCGTCTCTCCAACCTGTGCTTCGCCTCTCTTTCACGGTTGCACCCTTGAGCAGTGAAGGACAGAGAGGGGGACAGAGGGGGAAGGAAGATTCACGCAAAAAAAACCCACCGGGGGAGACGACACACCTGACAGGCCTGCAGATTCCTAGCCAGGCGGGAACTTTTTTTGCCTGAGCGAAAAGGACTGACCTCTGCAAAGAGAGGCTGATTGATGGAGATGCCAGCCGCCTGCAGAAAGGAAAAGTTCAACGCGCCTCCTTCTGCGAGCAGCGTAGGAAAGGAAGGAAAGGGCTCGGGAGGGTGACCTTTTTTTTGTAAGGCATCCGTGGTCCGTTCCAAGGTGGGGGAGAGGGACGACAGCTCATTCCCTGGCCTCTGAAAACAAAAAGGGGGATTCACAAACCCAGTGACTGCTG